CAGCACCCATTCATGATAAAACCTTACAGAAAATTGGAATAGATGGTCTTTATCTCAATCTGATAAAAACTGACGGACTGGAACCCAAGTAAAGCCAGACCAGACATTCTGCCATGAGAAAGAAGCTTCATTGGCTGGACTGCCTTGTGGACTAGGGCAGCTGCCATTTGGCTCGGGGAAAGGGTTTTTAAGGGTTGCTGGGGAGGGGGGCTCTGTAGGTGAGTCAGGTGCGCTCAGCAGAGTGTGACAAGGTCATCATCGGGTACCCTACAGGACAGGGTTGACTTTTTCAGTTGGAACAGTTTTGGGAAGTTTCTTTTCATGCAATCCAAGCATGAACAGACTCCAGGGACTAATTTTAAAAACCACCTATGACAAAACAATAGCATCCAAACAAATGAAATACCAAGGAAACAATCTATTGAAAGATGTAAAAGACCTCTACATTGAAAATTATAGTACTCTGAGAAAGGATATTAATGAGGATATTAGAAAATGGAGAGATATCCCATGCTTTTGGGTAGGAAGAAACATAACAAAAATGGCCATGCTTCCAAAAGTGTTATACAGATTCAGTACAATTCCAATAAAAATTCCAATGATATATTTTACAGAATTAGAGAAAACAATCCTAAAATTCACCTGGAATCAGAAGAGACCTAGAATAGCAAAGGCAATCTTGGGCAATAAAGACAAGACAGGGGGGCATCACAATCCCTGACTTGAAACTATACTATAAAGCTACTGTGACAAAAAAAGAGTGGTAATGGGGAAAAACAAGACCTGAAGACCAATAGAATAGATTAGAAGATACAAAAATAATTGCAGACACACTAAGCTACCTTACCTTTGACAAAGGTGACAGACACATTCAGTCTCCTTAATAAATGGTTTTGGAAAAAATGGCCTTCCACATGCTGAAGATTAAAACTGAACCCATATCTTTTACCTTGTACTAAGCTAAAATCAGAATGGATTAAATATCTTAATATTAAAACAGAAATATTAAATCTGCTGGAAGACAGAGTAGGTAAAACTCTTGAAGACATTGGTGTAGGCAAAGACTTTATGAATAAAACCTAGAGGGCACAGGACTTACTGCAAAGAATCAACAACTGGGATCTCATCCTACTGAAAAGCTTTTGCACAGAAAGAGAAACCACCAACAGAGTGAAGAGACAATCTACTATGTGGGAGAAAATGTTTGCCAGCAGTTCCTCAGACAAAGGGTTATTACTGAGAACATATGAAGAACTCAAAAAAAAAAAAAAGTTCATAGATTTAAAGACCCATCCAAAAATGAGCATCTCGGATGAACACACACTTCTCAGATGAAAAAGAATAAACAGCAAATAAATACATGAAAAAATGTTCAACAATAATGGCCATTCAAGAGATGAAAATTAAAACACAACTGAGACTTCAGCTCACCACAGCTGTGAGCGTGGCAGGTTCCAGCGGCCCAGGACAGAAGCCACTGGTGTTTACTGGGACCTGCACCATACCTGGGACCTGGAGCACCAGGAAACCAAGCAACCCCTCCCCACTGCCTGTTTTGTTTTATTGAACTTCAATATACATGAGGATATGGTCAGCTATTTTGAAGAGAACGAGAAACTCTATGACAGCCATTAGTGACTTCCCTATTGTCTGGTTTTGAAGACCTAAATTGCCTTCCTCATTCTATTTGGATCAGTTTTATACTATATTGTTTTGTATGAATTCCCTGCATGCAAAGACATGGACAACTGTTTGGAAGAAAACAAGACAATATGATAGATAGTGAAGATCTCAGGTCATCTAGCTTTGAAATTTACATCTCTTACATTGCTTTCTTTTGTCCTGTTTTGTTGTGTTTAATTTAACCTCCCTTAAAATAAAAACATAAATTAAGAAAAAAGAGATTTCACCTCACTCTAGAAAGTATCGCTAGTATTAAGACACCAATCAAAAACAAATGCTGGAGAGGCTGTAGGGAAAAAGGAACCCTTATTCCTTATTGGTGGGAATGCACACTGGTGCAGTCACTATGGAAGTCAGTGTGTAGATTCCTCAAAAAACTAGGATTGGAGGCCCCATTTGAGCCAGCCATTTGCCTTCTAGGTATCTTCCAAAAAGAATTAAAAACATCACATCACAACAATATATGTACACACATGTTTATAGCAGTACAATTCATGATAGCCAAATCTTGGAAACAACATACATGCCCATCGACTGAGGAATGCATAAAACAGATGTGGTATTTCTACATAATGGAATACTATTTAGCCATAAAGAATGATAAACGGGACATTTTTATAGATAAATGGACATGCCTTGAAAAAATATACTTAGTGAAATAAATGTCATGCATGCATAATCATCACATTACTTCCTTAATATGATAAAGAAAAAACATGCATTTTGTTTTGACTGACTTTGTTTTGACTGACTGCTTTGTTTTGTCACATTTGGTTTCCAAAAAAAAGTAATAAGAACTGTGGGAGTAATAAAACCCAAAATGTGTAAATGTTATTGTAAAAAAGAGAGGAAAAGAAAGTGCTTTAAAGGATACAACTGCAAGTGTGTTTAGTTGTGTAAGATAGATGACCATATTATTAAGTTTTTCTTGGGTCATTGAACACAACTGTTTGCAGTCTCACTGTTTGAATGTCCACTTTGTATGCTTTAATTTTGTAACTTGAACAACTATTTCTAAGATGACAATATGTAATCTATTAAGTAGTGATTTCTTACTGTTTATTTTTATTGAAATTCTGTATTCCTTATACCCTTTTACTGTTTTTTTCTTTAAATAAAATTTAAAAATAAGAAAGGAAAAGAAAAAATAGAAATTGAAAGAGTAAATAAGATACAAAATCTTCAGTAAATGTTGTGAAACATTAAGAGACTGCTCAAAGGGGAAAAAATAACAAGGAAAAGAAAATAAGAAAGAAGGGAAAAATACATAAATTTGTATATGTACACTTAAGATAGCTAAGATGATTGTGTCACTAATTATTTTTGAAATAGAACACTTAATTCATAGGATTAGATCAACTTTGCATGTTTATATCTGGTAATCTAAGTAACTATTTTGAAGATCACTATGCAAAATAACAACCTTAGTTCTGGTCCTATCACCTTGTTTTGAAGGCCTATATCATCACAGTTTTGGGCTCCTCGCTAATGTTATTTATTTACCTTTTTTGTTTCTTGTTTTTCTAGTAATCTGTTTTGTTTTGTTTTTCCTTCTAATGCAGAAAGGATAGATGGACGTGTATATGCATATATATGCATATATACCTAGAACTTATCCTCAAAAGTGTACAAAAATTGATTTTATTACTACTTTGAAGAAAACAAGACATTAAATAGCCATTGCTGATTTCCCATCATCTTGTTGTGAGGTCCAGTAATGCTTTTATTCTTTGTTTTGATTGGTTTTAGTATGTTTTGTATTATTTAATTTCAGTATGTGTGATGGTATGGACATCTGTTTTGAAGAGAACAAGGCAGTATAGTAGCCAGTGCTGATTTTCCTACTGTCTGGTTTTGAAGATCTGTAATGCTTTCATTCTTTAGTTTTGAACAGTTTTATACTATTTTATCTTGATTCAATTCACTGTGTGTGAAGATATGCACAGCTATTTCGAAGAAAACAGGAGCGATTATGGTAATCACTCATGATTTCCTGCTGTCTTGTCTTGAAATCTGGGTTGATTGCATTATTTTGTTGTGATCTGCTTTGTTTTGTTCTGTTTGGTTTTATTCTCTTTAGAATATAAAAATGAAAAAGAAGAAATGTAAGAATCAAAAGGTTAATTTATTTGAAAAATGGTGTTGACAGTTTGATAAGGGATTGTGTTTTCTGATCTTTGTTGTTTTCCTATATTCTTTTTTGGTTTCATTCTGTCTTTTACTTTTAATTAAAAATGTGAATACAAAACAAAAAAATGTGAAGACATAAAAAATATATCACACAATCTATAAGCTCTTGGTTTCAAACAAATAAACATAATGAGAAATTATTAAATAGAACTTGTTTTTAAAAAGTCTAAGCCTGACTTTTCAAATTAAAAGAAAAATATACAACCTTCAAAATGTAAAAATAGGGCCAGGGATTTAGCTTAGTGGCACAAATGCCTGCCTGGCAAGTACGAGGTCATAAGTTCGATCTCTGGTATCAAAAATAAACAGATAAATAAATAAACAAAGAAAATTTTAAAATGCCCATCCAACTTTGGTAATAATTCATGATTTTATCTTTTAGATATTTCTTACAATTATACTTAATAACTTTAATCATCGGAATAAATTAAAACATTTTATTGAACTAAGTAATAGCTGAAGAGAGCTACGACAGGACAATCACTCAGAAAGAGGGGGAACACCTGGGAATTCATCTTTATATTAAACTTTAAAGGAATATTAATGAGAATTAATAATTCAAATTGGGAGAGTTAAACAGAAAGGGCCACTTTAGCACATCTGGGCAAAAATGACTCTTTCCTTATTCTTGTGACCGAAGGAAACAATATAAAAGTTTAAGTTTAAAGTTGGAAAATAAAAGGTATATTACCTCAAATTCCACTTTCAGTGTTTCTTAAAAGCCCAAGTCTCAGGAACCACAAAAACTCAGGTTCCTGGCTCGTATCCCAGCTACATCGAATCCACATCTCTGCAATATGCCCTGGAGTCTGTATTTTAAAGAGCTGTCCCTCACTCCATGTGTCATCCATGCCCACGACCATCTGGGATGTGGTCATGCCTTTCCATGCGAAGCAGACCATCAAAGAGCACGATTTCCGCCATGCCTGTTACTGACATGGCTTACACCACATTTAAACACTGTTGTCATCCGGGCCCACTTTTCACAGCAGGACAGCACCTTCATAGTTATTTTTTTTACATTTAGTAGGTTTAGTAGATTTTACTCTACATCTACATTTTTTAAAAATTACTTTTGATATAATTAAGTTACACATGAATGCGAGTTACCTCTAAAATTCACTTACCTTCAAATCCTTATGCACATTCAGGAAGTTTCTAACATATTTAATGGAAGCTTTCAAGAGTGGATGTGGTGGAGCTCTGATTTCCCACGCTGCTAGGACTGGCCAAGGAGACCCCTGCCGTGGACACCACACATGCCGCTGAGAAGGAAGTCACCAATGTGTCACCCGGTGGTCTCTGATTCTAAACAGAATGGAAAACCAACAGTCAGTCACCTGTAAGTTAGAGAATCCGCTATGGAGAAAGTTATTTTCAGTAAACTAGCAGTGTTACTAAATTTAAACTTGGATTGGGTTTTCTGCTTCCTGATTTAGCAAGGTTGATATTTAAAATTTCATAACATTGTGAAGTCAGAAGTGCAGAGCGATACTGCCTGCAAAAAATTCTTATAGAAATCCTATTGCTTTATTTGAATGTTTTTTCTAAATACTGCATCAAGTGGTATAGTTACTAATTTTAATTTTGATTTGGAGGTGCTGCATTCTCTCACTGAGTTTCTTTCACAGATAGGTGATGGGGTCTCTTGGTAATGTATCTTTATATGAAATTCTATTAAAACATTGTAAGAGATGGAAGACTTTTACTAAATTCCCTGGAATCATCTGAGAGTTTTGCTCCATTTCAGTTCACCTGGCTAATGCCTGCCAAGATAATTAGGTATGAACAAGATAATATCCTTTCTAGACTGTACATATTGCCTACTCAGGAAAACTGAAATTCTAGCATCTTTATTGAATGAAGTAAGTTGAATATTGTAGTCATAAAAAGATACTAAAGCATGTTTTAAAATTAGTAATCAATCATGCAAATGTTGTCCGAAAGGGCAAATGAACCAAAATGTATAGATAAACACAAGGTCAGATAAAAAATGTTCACCCTGCCTCCCAAGTGCAAGCACAGACTCCCCAATGTAACCACAGTTGTCACGGAAGACTCCATGGCCTGGCTACTGAAAAACGATTCCCACCCACTTTGTTCCTCGCTATGTCTCACAAATAGAAATAAAAGCAGTGACATGACTGTATTCTGACACATAAGCTACTGTACATGAATTGTGCTGGGTAAAATCCCTGGCAGAAGTTTGCTTTATTGGTAAGTGAAAAAACCTCCTGCTCCTTTTTCCTCTTCCTCACATTTGCTTTCCTTGAATGAGAATGTGGTACTTTGGAGGCAGAGCAGCAATTTTGTCACCAGGATGTGAAATGCAATGAAGACTCAAAAACAAAGCTATAAACGCTGTCACCAGTGAACAGCAGAACCAACACTAACTCTGGACATGTACTTGTTTAAATCACTGTGTTTTCTGTTCCTTGCTAAGAGAAGCTTTGTTGGTTGACAAGAGACTCAAAATTATTGCTGACAGGTAAGTGCCATGGCCGTGAGTGTAGTAATATCTATTTTTAAATTCCTTCAGATTTAGACTACAATAAAAGGAAGCTGACATTCTATGAAGTCAAGAACAGCATTTCTTTGATGCAGGCGGGAGCTCACCTTCTTTCTGACTTCTAGGGAAGTTGTAATATGGTAATATTGAGACCCAAAGTGAAAGTAACTAGAATGAAATGGAGAGGAAAGCCAACTCACAGCTTGGTTGGATGGAAAATGGTCCAGTATTAAGACGCAGCAAATAGTGGAATCCTATCTTGCCTTGGTGCCCCAAACTACCACAATATTTGGAATCTTAGTGGAAGACTGAGTTTCACCTTCTAAGAAATCCTGTGAATGCTTTCTTTGAAATACTCTTCTCTCCTGTCAAGTTCATTGCTATTATCTTCCTCCTCAGACACAGCACAAGTTCTCAATTTCCTCTTTCCCAGAATATTGTCATAGAATCTTCCACAGATTTCTCTCTCTTAAGTATTATGGCAATATGTACTATAATTGCCTTCAAGCTTGAGTTTTTCCAGACCTTTTTTTTTTTTGGAACTAGGAATCAAACTCAGGACATTGTGCTTCCCAGACATTTACTTGTTGCACTGAGCCACATCCCCTGACCCAGACTTAACTTCTTATCACATTGATTACATTGGATTCCACTTTTGTTCAAAGTACCAGAGTTCCCAGTAGTCTATGGGATTAAGCCCAATACTTAAACAGGTATTCAAATCTCCCTATAATTTGACCTCTTCTAGGTTTTCCAACCCCTAACACTTTAGGTGGGTTGGTGGGAGGATTTATTCTCATTTCAGAGGTTCATATTAATTAACTTTTGAGAATCAATGTCTCTCAATTTCTATCTACAATGATGAGAATAAACACATGCCTTTTGAATATCAGTGGAATCTCCATCCTGGAGCTTTACTGCCCAGAGAAACCAACAATTTGTTTCTTTTATTCCTAAGTTTATTTTTGCTAATACATACTTGCAGTGAGTAGTGATTACATTCATTGTGGGGGACTTGGTACCTACACGTAACACATCTCAAATATTTTTACATCCCTATCCTCTCCCGTTTTCTTCCCCTCCATCCACGACTTGATTCTCTTCCCATTTGCAAAGATCTCTTTCCCTGCTTCCTTATTCCATGAATATTTAAGCACGCAGTCTCTGGAACTACTGATAGTTATCTTGGGTGTATGAGGAACAAACAAACACCAAAGAACCAGAGGTGGAGAAACAGAGAGCATAAACTGAGGTATGGACGTGTTATTTAACACTGGATAGTGACTTGCATTATTGTTCAGGTTTAAAGCATCCCCCCCAAGTCTCACGGTTCAGAGGTAGGTTTTCCAGAAGGTGACTGGGGGCTCTAACTTTGTCAGTGGATTAATCCACTGATGATTTCATAATTTTAGGGCACGAATGGAAGATAATGGAAACACAGGTGGTGCTGCCTAAGTGAAGGCCATGACCCTGGGGACTTCCTTGCTTCTTCTCTGATTGTTGGGAGCCGCGGCCGACACCGGTCACCTTACTTGGCGGACGTAGGGCCTGTGGGTGGGAGCGGAGCCTGAGCTAGATTGCCCCTCCCATCGAGTGAGCCAAGTTGGCGCCTGCTTCCTGCCCCCTGATTGCCCTGGCGACTTAAACAACCCGCTCTGTAAGATAGTCTGCCTAGCAACAACTGATGTTAGCCAATCAGCCCGCATCGCGCGCTTTGAACTGATTGGCCACTGTTACCCTATAAAAGTAAATGCCTCTCCCGCCACAGAGAGAGAAGCACAGAGAGGAAGCACAGAGAGAAATAGAGAAAGTCCACCGGCAAAAAGGGCTGGTGACAGAGCGGAGGCCTCGCGGAGCCCACGCGGAGACTAATAAAGACAAGGTTGCACACCGCCAGACTTTGTCGTGTGTCTTTCCTGCCGGCCGGGAGCGACCCCGACATTTGGTGACCCGCACGGGGACTGATCAACCCCGAGACACGGCGGTGGTGTGCAACGCTCCAGCGTGGTGCTGCCGGACAGGTGAGTTGGGGATAAGCCTGGGCTCTGGGTGGCGCGCACCTACAGGGCTTTTAGACTCCCCTCAGGCTCACGCGTAGGTGACGGGTTCTTTAAGTCACACGCGGTGAGTTACAGCCCTTAGAGGTTGAGGATGGGTAATTTACCGAGCGCGGAGGCGCGGCCCTTGGTAAAGGCCCTTAAAAAGCTTTTAAAAGCTAGAGACCTCAGGGTAGGTCAAAAAACACTAAAACTATTCATAGCAGAGGTAGATAGGGTGGCTCCCTGGTTTTTACCCACAGGGCATTTAAACCTGCCGTCATGGGAGAAGTTAGGCGGGGACCTCGCCTCGGCGGAATTGGGAGGCGATATTTCGCCGGCTATTCGCCCCCTGTGGGAAATGGTACATGCGTGCCTTGACTCCTATGCCGAGTTGCGCCGCGAATTGTGTGCGTGCGCCGCTCGAAAAAAGCAGAGAGAGGAAAAAGGACCCCCAAAAGCCCTCTGGCGGGGAAGAGATAGAGAGCCATCCGCTTCGCCCTGGAGCTCTTCTCCAGAAGCGGCTCCCCGCCGAGAGGCCACTACAGGAAACCCTCCCTTCTCTCAGCCGGCACAGGAAGTGACGCCCCATTCCACTCTGTCGCGACCGCCGTCCTATGACATTGCGCCGCAGGGCGGACGGTATTTTCATGGGTGGCTACTCTGCCGAGCAGGCTGAGAAAAACGCCGGTCGAGGAAACGGGGGCTGGGGATTTAGCTCAGCGGCATAAGCGCCTGCCTTGTAAGCAGGCAATCGCGAGTTCGATCCCTGGTACCGATTAAAAAAAAAAAAAAAAAAAAAAAAAAAAAAACGAAAAAGATAAAAAAAAAATAATAATAAATAAATAAATAAAAATAAAAAATAAAAAATAAAAAACAAAAAGGGGGAGTAAGCCAAGGCCTGCCTCCAAAGGCGCAGTTATCTATGGCATGACAATGGATGGGCCCGGATCCGGTGGTTAGCTGGAACCGAGGCGTGGTTTGTGTTTTTCCGCAGGAACCGGGACGAGAACCACTGTTGGTCCCAGAGAGGTTGACGCGTGCGACTGAAGATCAGGCCTGTTCCACCAGAGGCCGACCGCAGACCCAACAATAAGATGAGCCCTAAAGGAACTGCAGGACAATCCCTTTTGGGGAGCCTGGAATGGCTTGCTCCCCTATATTTTACCATTGTTAGGTCCCCTGTGCTCCTTGCTTCTGCTCTTACTTGTAGGACCATTCTTGCTCCAATGGGTTACATCATTTATTAATGGGCGCCTTGCGGCGGCTCGGCGTCAAGTACGCCTGGTTGCCCGTGCGGCCCTGGCAGCAGCCCGTGATGGGCACAATGACCCCCAAGCTTACGCATGGCTCGCTCGACTGGCCTACGACCGGGTCTAGGTGTGGCGGGTCTTCCGCATTCCTTCCCTATTGACACCACACAGCAGGGTAGGTGAGTCAATGACGGGTAAGAGCGTGCCTCCCCAGCACGACTCGACCTAAGCCAGGCCCTACCCCATACTGCACGAAAGCCGCTGGATTACTAGAATCTGCCCAGATCTAGATGCCTCTCCGAGGGGATCACACGGAGGGGCATGAGTGCATGCCTATGTGCATCCAGGTTCCGTCCAGTTCACTCCTGGCCCTGGAAAAAGGACGAGGGTCTCAAGGCCTTGGCGGACCCGGGGGCGGCCGACCAGGGTCCAAGCCAAGGGCCTACGGTGGGCCTCAACACAGGGCATAAGCCTCTGCACTCGATCCAGGGCGGGCTGCGATGCATACAT